GCTTTCTTGGTCTCGTAGCCGAAACTTCGAAAAAACAAAAAAAAGGGCGAATTTTTATTACAATTTAATTCTGTATTGAATGTTGTAAGTTTTTCCACAAATAAAAGTGTCTGTCTAGATCGACTTTTTTATTTCAAATAAATTAAGATTTGAACGACTTGCAGCTTCACCGGTAAACATAAATTGTTCACCAAGTACACAAATAATAACGTCAATATCATTTAATTTTATAGTTTCAATTGTTTGTTCCAATAATTTTTCTGGTGATAATTCTTTATCCAAGTGAACATCGGTATTATGGATATTACGATTTAACATGTTAATTATTCTTGGATCTTCTATTAAATTACAACCTTTAGAATAAATAAGATTAGACGAAGTTTTTAAAAGATGTTTAATTCCTTCATAAATTGATACTGTTTCCTCTGCTAAACCACCAGCTGACCAACTGCCTAAAAGATTTCGTTTATCCATTGCTAATGGACCAGTTAAAAGAATTTTTGTACTACTATTACAATTTAATGGTAATATTTGTTTATCATTTTTTAATAAAACAAATGACCTTTTCGCTATTTCTTTAGCTAAAAGACGATGTTCGTTGGATGGTATATTTGCATTATTATCATTACAATAACGATAAGGATCATCAAATAAACCTAAACGATATTTTGCCATTAAAATTCGTCGACATGCCAGATCAATTTGATTTTGATCAATTTTTCCATCATTCAATGATTTTTCTAATGTTTTTAAATACCCAAATGACACCATATCAAAATCAACCGTTGCATTTAATGCTTGTGTACTAGCATCTTGTAAATTACCAACTAAACCGTGTGCTTGTAATTCTAATATTGCTCCATAATCACTAACAATTAAATCATTAAATTTCCATGTGTTTCTCAGTAGATCATTCAATAACCATTTATTTGCTGTTGCTGGTATACCATTGATTTCATTAAATGATGCCATAAGACTTTGAACACCAGCTTTTACAGCTGCTTCAAACGGCGGTAAATAATATTGAAACATTTTTACTTGTGACATATCAACTGTATTATATTCTCTACCACTTTCACACGCACCATAAAGTGCAAAATGTTTAACACATGCCATTATTGTATCATTTCTACTTAAATCATCTTGCTGATAACCACGTATCATTGCCATAGCTATTTGACTACCTAAGTATGGGTCTTCACCTGCACCTTCGGCTACACGGCCCCAACGTGGATCGCGTGAAATATCAACCATTGGTGAGAATGTCCATTGTAAACCATCACTGCCGGCTTCTTTTGCTGCTATACGTGCACTTTGTTCAATTAAATTCATATCCCACATACATGACATTGCTAAATTAATTGGAAATATTGTTCGATGACCATGAATAATATCTAAACCACATAGTAATGGAATCTTTAAACGTGTATTATTTATACATAATTCTTGTAATGGACGTATGAATTTCGATGTCCAAATATTTAAAATACCACCAACATGTCCACTCTTAATACTATCTAAATGTTCATTTGTAATACCTTTTCCTAAATTATTAACTGAACCATCACCAACGGTTATTAAATTTAATTGGCCTAATTTTTCTTCTAATGTCATCTGTGCCATCAAATTATTAATTATACTAACTTCTTCCATTTTATTTGTTTTATTATCAGCCATAATACACGCTAAAACACAACAACGATTAGTAGACATAAGGTGTGAATTACAAGTGGCTTTAAACAGACGCACAGTTTCTGATAAAGATTTTTGAAATAAAAAAGTCGATCTAGACAGACACTTTTATTTGTGGAAAAACTTACAACATTCAATACAGAATTAAATTGTAATAAAAATTCGCCCTTTTTTTGTTTTTCGAAGTTTCGGCTACGAGAACAAGAAAGCTCTACATTTTTTTGGGTGTTCCTCATCTCAGCGTTATCGTTGTCTCTGTATCGAAAAGGCATAGAAATGGAAACATCAAAATAAAATTAAACCAAAATTTTGTGCTTTTTTTTCTCACTGGGAAAGTTAACAACACTCGTAAATCATGTAATTATTTTAACGCAA